CCCCAAAACCCCAAAACCCCAAAACCCCACAGCACTAAATTTTGTGCTATATTTGTTAAAATTAGAGTTGAAAAATAATTAAAATAAATGAATAGCTCACGATCTCAAAACTAGAAGGAGTAGACAATTTTATCTTAGAGAGGAAATCTAAAGCAGCGAATTAAAAGCAATATGAATTCTTCAAGAAATAATATTGAAAACCCCAGTAGATTGTCTCCAAAACATGCAAGGATATAGGCCTACTACAAGGAAAGAGATTTGATAAATGGAGCTAAATAATTCACATCATATAATCCTAATAATCGTTTCTCTACAAACATCATGGAAAATTAAACTTTAATCTAACAAACAATATTTGATAAGAGTCTGCAGTCAAGCTATGAAAAACTTTAAAAAAGATCTGATTAAATTGCTCGGTATTACAATCAGAATTTTAATGAGTATACCAATAATGTGAATAAATCGATTGAATAGCTCAATGATTCATAAAGATCTTATCAATAACAATCACAGGTTGATTTTATTAGAAATAGTATTTCAAAGACAAGAGATGTAAATAATGAAGTATTCATTTCAGATGAAGATAAGCAAGAAAATGCAAGAAGAGGCTTTTAAAATCACAAGTTAAGACTATAATTGGGAGTATTTGGAGATTTTAATATTTCGACACTTCCTAACGTTGTTTCAGGGACAGCATACCAGTAAAAAAGATTAATATTTAGAACGATGGATAAAAATAACGAAATAAATATGCAACCATAGATAGCTTAGTAAAATGTCAGCAGACTTCAAACAAGCAATCTTACAAATACTTCAAATATAATGAGTGCATTAGGGAATAGAGATGGGAAGAGAGGTAAATCTGTTACATCAAATCATACAAAACAGGCACCTCTCTTAATGACAAGGTAATCGATGGGGAAACAATCTAATATGGATACATCAAAGCTAAGTGATAAAAATGGCGAGGTGTCAATGCGTAGCAGATAGGTATTCTAAAATAAAGACTTTTTAACAGATCATGAGAAAAAGTTCGGAGATTCAAAGAATCTGGAAAATATAAACAACAGCTTCTAAAAATTAAGTTCACTTTAGGATAGAAATTGGAGTTAAAGAGATATATCTAAGGTCGTGTACTCTTCACCTCATAATTTTAGTGGGGCTTATGATAAATCTATAAACAGTTAGTTTAATAGTATCTTAAGTGGGAAAAAGATAAGATCCAATGGATTCTAAGGGGCATCGTAGTCTGATATGACGAGAACTGACCTTAGAACGATGCAACTTAACAAGATTAATTAAATGATACTTGAAAAAAGAACTGCAATGTAAGTTGATTATCCTACTATAAAAGAAGCAATTAAATAAGACTAGGCTAGTGCATCTCAAAGTATGAACCAAGATTAGTAACAGCTTTATTCTTAAATAAGATACAGATCTCTAGGAAGGGCTGACCGTAACAATGATCCCATGCACTTTGAAAAGGTTTTGACTGATAGGAGATCATAGCTTAGTCCCAAACATTATAATGGAAATTATAATACTTAAATCTTATGGGAGGCCAAGCAAAGAGATCTCAAATCTACAATGGGGCTGCAAAAGGCTACATTTGACATTATTAATAATAGAGACAGGACTACTGCAGTTTAAGATTTGAGCAGTAGGCTGCTAAATAAAAAGGTTAATGGAATAAGTGAGTTTGCCTAAGTAACTCATGTAACAGCCCCAAAGATTAATAGGGACTATTAGAAAGTATTTTAGTCAGATCCAAATGTTTTTAAAAGAAGTCAGGGATTGCTCTCCAAGTTTGCCAATTGTGCAGCAAGTCATAAGATACTGATCCCTTCCTTCAAAAAAGCTTGATTTAAAATCTAAGTTATTTTTATTTTGATCGTAATTCATCAAATCATCTCTAACGGGGGTTTTGGGGTTTTGGGGTTTTGGGG